GGCGGCGGGCCGGGCTGGAGGAGCGATGCTGCTCGCCTCCGCCGTGGTGGTGTGGGAATGGCTGAACGAACACGGGCGGTGGCGGCCCTACAGCCCGGCCGTCAGCCATCACATCGAGGCGGTGGCCCGCGCCGGGCCGAGGGCGGGCGGCAGCGTGGTGCTGGGCCAGGCTGACAGCCGCCTGGCGCCCTACATCATCGACCTGCAGTCCATGCACCAGTTCCGCCAGGACACCGGTGAGTGAGCCCGGCCGACCCGGGGCCGCCCATGTTCCCACCTTGCGTCGCGCGGTGCCGCCTGACCTGGAATCGCATCGCACGGTGCTGCGCGGTGCTGTGCTGCCGGGCCCGTGCTGCATCGCACTGCCGGAGCCGGGTTGCGCTGCACTGCCTTTCCCGGTCCCGCGTTGCGTTGTGCCGCCCTGCTCGGTTCCACGTCCCGCTGCCCGCCCCGCGGTTGCGCTGCTGTGCCGTGCCGCCTGCTCCTGCCCGCCTCGCTGAGCCCCGGGTTGCATCACGCTGAGCCTTGTGTTTGCCTCGCACTGCCTGACCTGGAATTGCATAGCTCTGCTCCTTGCTGCTTGCGTGCTCCCTGCCCCTAGCTGGCCGTGCGGCTGCCCGAGTCCTGTTGCAACAAGCAGCCTTTTGCCCTAGTGGCCGGGGCCTGCGGACCTCCTCTGTTCCCTACAGACCTTTCCTCTGCGTATGAGGCTCTCCCTGTGCTCCCCTGGCCCTATGGGATGCTGTGGGGACAAGTCGTGCCCTGGAGCATAGCAGGGTACAGGTGGGGCTGCGGGGGGACACCAAGTGGGGAGCACGGGCAGGTGTTGGGAAATCCCCGAGGGCTGAGTGCAGGTGTAAGAAATGCAGGGCACTGTTGTGTGGGGTGTGCTTGGCACAGGTGTTTGTGCTCCTTCCTTCCACTGGCAGTCCCCGCTTGGCCGTAGGAAAGGGATAGCAGCATCCCTTGTCCCCAGGCGGTGTCCCCTTGTGGTGCTGCCTTCCCCAGCAGCCCGGGGCTGGTGGGAACCATGGCCCGCCCGGGTGCTCGGGGACAAGGGACCTTTGGTGCCGGGGGACAGCATTCAGCGCCATGTGTCTGAGGGCTATTGTTGCCCAGGGGAGGAGGCCTGAAAGGGGAATTGTTCTGCCTCTCCCTGGGTTGCCGGGGATGTCGGTATTTTGGGTCATTAAACAGCTCTGATTTGGGGGGGTCGCGACCCTGGCAGGCCCTGAATAGCTATTGTCCCCTTTCTTCCCTTGCTGAATGGGAGGCCAGCCGGCCGCCGGGCCGGGGGACACGCCACTTTCCCACAGCGCCAGAGCTGCCAGATGCCGCATGCCGTCGCTGCCGCCCTCCTCGCCTCGCACCGGATTAGGATAAATCACTTCGTGCAGCGAGGCCCCGCTCCCCTCTGGCCCCGGCGCTGCTTTGTGCCGGCAGCTTTTCCCCCACCAGGTGCCCCTGTGCGTGATGGGGCGGTGACCCACTTCTCTGCTCTCCAGCCTGCTCAGGGGGAGCCCGTTCTGGCATGGGAGCTGATGGTAGTGGTAGGGGTCGGGATTAAGGGGGACTGACATTCCTGTGGGCTTTAAGGGGACACGTGGCCGGTCAGAGCAGGACAATCGTGTTCTGCTGCGGTGCCAGGCGGGACCTGGCTGAGGTGTGCTGTGACGGGCTGACGAGCGTCACGTTGGTGCCGGGGTGGCCTGGGGAAACTGAGGCACGCTGTTCCCGTGGCAGGGTGGGGACAGTGGCTGAGTCAGGAAGCTGTCATTCCAACACCAGTGAGGCCGGTCGGGGCAGTTCCATGGTGTTCACTGACTGGTGCCGGGTTCTGATGAAATCTCCGTCCCCTCCGCAGGCACCATCCGCCCCGTGCGGCGCAGCTACTATGACCCATCCTCAGCACCGGGCAAAGGCGTCGTGTGGGAGTGGGAGAACGACAGCGGCTCCTGGACTCCCTACGACATGGACGTGGGCATCACCATCCAGCGTGCGTACGAGAAGCAGCACCCCTGGGTGGACCTCAGCACCATCGGCTTCTGCTACGTGATCGACTTCGCCACTATGGGCCAGATCAACCGGCAGACCCAGCGCAAGCGCCGCGTCCGCCGCCGCCTTGACATGGTGTACCCCCTGGTGTCGGGCACCCTGCCCAAGTCACAGTCCTGGCCGGCCAGCCCTGGGGCGGCAGCGGCCCCCCCGGCCCCTGCCTGCGCCTGCCCCCAGTGCCTCCTGGTGATGAGCGTCAAAGCTGCCGTGTCAGCCGGCGGCCTGGGGGCTGCTACCCTGCAGCCACGCAAAACTCCCCCTGCTCCTTCCGTCACCCCCAAGGCCCCGGCACCCACCTCAGGTGCCAAGGTGCCTGACGGCACGGCCGCAGCGCGCGGATCGCTGAAGCCTCTGGGCTCACAGAGTGTCCGGCGGCAGGCAGCCAGCGCACCTGCCCTGAGCCCAGCCGGCCCTGCTACAAGCCCCCCCGGCGCGGGCAGCAGCAAGGCGGCCCGGCCCGGCCTCGGCACCCTGAACCGCAGCCACCTGCAGCGCCTGGCCATCGCCCAGTCTCGCGTGCTTATTGCCTCGGGGTGAGTCCTGCTGTGTGTGTGCGAGCGAGAGTGGGGAAAAGGGGGCCGCATCCCTGAGCCATTTAGCGTGGGGGAGGGAAGCCCCAACTCTTCCTCATGGGCAGAGGGCTCTGCTGGCCCTTCACTCTCCCCTGGTCCCTGTGTGGGGAGGGAGCGGGCATCGCAGAATGCCCTCCTGCATCTCAATGAGGAGGCTGGGCTGCTCTTTCTTCAGTCCTTTCTCTGTCCCCTACCCTTCCCCTTCCATCTCTGTTCCCCACCCTTACCCTGCCACAGAAAAGACATTCAGGGCCCTGTAAGAAGGGGTCCTTCCCCACCCTCTGTGGACCATTTTTTGTGCTGGGGTGGGGACCACTCAATGCGCCATTTCTCCCTTTTGTCTGCTCTGCTGTCGGCCTCCTGTCACAGCCTGGCCCCTTTCCTTCCCTCTGTCCTCCCCCTTCCCTCTGTGCTCCTGACCCACCGGGAAACTTTCCCATGGAAGAGAGCCCTGACGCGGGGCGGGGGGAGCGGCTATGCAGTGACTGTAGGGAGAATGGAGAGGGGAAAAAAACAGCAACCCAGCGACAAAAAGAGGCTGTGAATGGTTTGGAGACGCAGGCGGAGTTTCTAAAGAGCGACAGAAAAGGCGGCAGCAGGGCGGGGGGCACAGGGCTTGGTGGAGAATTCTCTCCTTCCAGCCAGGGCCTGCTTGGTTGCTTGGGAAACTGCTGTCTGGTGTGGGCCGTGAGCCCTGATGCGGTCCTGTGCTTTCTCTGCAGGGTCCCTACTGTCCCCGTGAAGAACCTCAATGGCTCCAGCCCTGTGAACCCAGCTCTGGCAGGTGAGGATGGCCCCACCAGGGAGGTCTGTGGGGGTCGTCTTCATTCCTTAACGCTGTCTTGCCCCCCCCCCTCAGGCATCACAGGGATCCTGATGAGTGCAGCCGGGCTGCCTGTCTGCCTGACACGGCCCCCCAAGCTGGTGCTGCACCCTCCGCCTGTCAGCAAGAGCGAGATCCAGTCCATCCCCGGCATCTCCCACACCTGCCGCAAGACCACCAAGAAACAGGCCAAGAAGGGTGAGCCCTCTCTGGCCCTTCCCACCCTCCTGGCTGTAGGCCCGCTGACCCCAGCCCTGCTGACTCTCTCTCTCCTTCAGGTAAAGCTCCAGAAGAGGTGCTGAAGAAATACCTTCAGAAGGTGCGGCATCCGCCAGATGAGGTGCGAGCAACGGCTTGGGCTGTCCGCAGGGTGGGAGGTGGCAGTGCCCCTGGGCTGTGCTGTGTATCTGCAGCCTCTCCTCCTGGCCCCTCTGAAGAGGGGCTGCGAGCCCTGGGCACATGTCAGAGGGCCCTATCCATCCATTCTCCATGCAGGACTGCACCATCTGCATGGAGCGGCTCTCGGCGCCGTCCGGCTACAAGGGCCCCCAGCCAGCCATCAAGCCTGACCTGGTGGGGAAACTGGCCAAGTGTGGCCACATCTTCCACCTCCACTGCCTGGTGGCCATGTACAACAACGGCAACAAGGTGCGAGGCTGCAGCCCTGGGGGCCTGAACCCCCAGCTTGGTGACGTGGGGGGGGCCTGGTGCATGCCATAACCATGTGTCTCCATAAAACAGTCTGTGAAGGGCAGATTTTTGCTGGAAATGCTGAATCACAAACTGGGTTTGTATGGCTGTTTTGTTTCCCCGCTGTGGTTCCTGTCCTTACTTCCCTCCCAGGGCTGGAGAGGTGACCTTTGGTCTGTGCACACACCACTGCTGCTTTTCCAGCTGCAGGTGGACTTCTGAGCCCTCTGCACAGGGCTGTTTTGTTTGGCATGCCTAGGAAAAAGCATTCCATGTTGCTTAGAGATTGTTATTCTGCCATCTGTTTCTCTCTCTGCCAAACCAAAACAAAAAAACAGAGGTAGGGCTCGTGAAGCTGATGAGGAAGAACAGTTCAGACATCGGGTGTTTGGTTCCAGTTGGTTTGCAGGCCCTCCCAGTCCCCTCCTGCTTCCTGAGTGCCTGTGTGTGTGTTCATGCTGGGTGGTGCTGGGGAGCACTGCTTTCATTATTTCCCTCTCTCAGGATGGTAGCCTGCAATGCCCAACCTGCAAAACCATTTATGGGGTGAAGACGGGGACGCAACCCCCGGGGAAGATGGAGTACCACATCATCCCTCACGCATTGCCCGGCCACTCTGACTGCAAAACCATCCGTATCATCTACAACATCCCCCCAGGGGTGCAGGTGCGTCCTGGGGAGTGCGTTGGTGGTGAGCCATCCTTGTGGGGACCCACAGCCCTGCTGCTGTTGCATCTGTGACCTAAGGTTGGGGGTGGTAATTTTAGGGCTGCTGTTAGAGTGCAGCTGCTCTGTGATTAAGCCTTCTCCATGTGGCAGAGGCAGCTGCCTCTGATGGAGTTTTGGTGTTGTGTTGCACCCAGAGTGTGCTTTTGAGTTCTAAATTATATTTTATTTTTCTCTCCCATTGCATGTTGTAGGGACCAGAGCATCCAAACCCAGGAAAGAGCTTCACTGCCCGTGGCTTCCCACGGCACTGCTACCTGCCTGACAGTGAGAAGGGCAGGAAGGTGAGAGGGGCTCAGGCTGGCGAAGCATGCTTGTGAGGGGGAGAGGGACGGGGACAGGGATTTGGAGCATGGAGAAAAGCAGGCTTGGCTTTGGCACACAAGTCCGGGTGAAGATCTTCCTTCAATGTAGCCTGTCCTGGGAGTGCTAGAGAGCTCTGCTATTTTGGTTGGTGTGAAACAGCATGGGATGGGACTCTGCTCCTGGGATCCCTGGTCAGCCTTGGTGAGGGCTTGCCTGGGTGGTCAAGTGCTGAGCAAAGGTGGGTGCTGCCTGCAGCTCCTGTGCCCACCTTGCTGCCTGCCCCATCTCCCCCTCCCCAGGTACTGAAGTTGTTGCTTGTAGCCTGGGACCGACGCTTGATTTTTGCCATTGGGACCTCCAGCACCACGGGTGAGTCAGACACAGTGATATGGAATGAGATCCACCACAAGACAGAGTTTGGCTCCAACCTCACCGGTCACGGTTACCCTGACGTCAACTACCTGGACAACGTCCTGGCTGAGCTCGCAGCCCAGGGCATCACAGAAGAGAGTCTGGCACAGGAGAAGGACTGAGATTGATGGTAGGGAGGCCATGGCAAGGGTTCCCACTGCTGTATCCAAGGATAGAAGCCACCAGTGAAACCTAGCTGGGTTGTAGGGAGGGCAGCGGGAGCAGCTCCAGGTCAGTGGGGATGTGGGAGGGTGTCTTAGGGCTGTCCCCTCCCTGCTGGCAGAGCCAGCTGGTGCCGTGAGCCACAAAGATGACCCTGGTCTGGCCATCCCCAGAAGCCAGTCGCTGCTGTGCATTGTCCCACACAAATGTTGCGTGCTGCTGGCAGGGCTCTGTGGGAACTGGGGAGGGCAAGCCAAGACCCTCCCTTTCCTAATCATCCATGTTCCAGCCTGACTTGATGCCCCCTGATACCCACCTGGGCCTGGGACCCCATCCTGGTGCTGGGCAATGGGTGGGAGCCGGGCTGTGGGGTCTCTGGCTGTGGCCCTACCTCGTCCCTCACCCGTCTCTTTGTCTGTCTGTCCTGTCTGGTACATCCTGACTGATCTTCTCTGTCCACAGAGGTGGGGGCTCTGGTCCATCTTGACCAGACCCCCTTGTCCTTCCTCCTCCTCTTGGTTATGTCTGAGCTGTGCCCTGTGGGGTCCCTTTGTCTGGGCTGCCCCTGTACTGGGAAGGGCTTGGAGGGTGGTTGGAAGCCGAGTGTGGGGGGGGAAGCATGTCTCCTGCTCCTGCTCTCCCCAGTAGTGGGTTCTTTGAACTGTTTGTATGGGGGCGTCCCCGTGTTGAATTTTATATACCTCGTGTTTTGGGGGTTTGTCGTATATATGTACATATAGGTGGTGGTGGCTGGGAGGCGGCCAGGGGAACATGGTGCTGTGGCCAGGCCTGGTGGTGCTCTGGATCTGGGGGTGGGGAGAGGGAGACACTGACCTGGAAGGACTCAGTGCCTCACAGTGGAGCTGTCACCCATGGGTCTCTGTGAAGTAGGGATAGATGGGAAGCCATCACCTTCCTGCTAGATTCCATCCATGTCCCATGGCTCGGGGATCCCTGGGGAAGTCTCAATGAGGTAGAGGGTGGCTGGCAGTGTATTGGCACAGTGATTTTGGGCAGGGCTGGGGGGGGGGGTTGATGTGCTGGGGGGATAAGTGTGGCTGGGGGAAGGGGAGGGGAGGGGGTTTGCATGGAATCTGGTGGCCCCCACCAGACCCAGGGACTTTGCAGGGCCTCTTGGAGCCACATGGGGTGGGAACAGTGGGCCCTGTGGCTCCAGGGGGATGCTGGGGGGGGCACCCTCCCCACAGGCTGTTCTATGCCCTCCTCCTGATCCCATCCTATGAGACACCCTGACTTGGTGAGTAGGGCGGGGGCCCTGCCAAAACTGCCCCCTGTCCCCCCCTCATTGCTCCTTGTGGGGTTGGGTCCTCATAGCCCCTTCTGTTTAGTCCCTTTCCGGTTTTCCTTTGGGGTTGGTTCACCCTCCGTCCTGGGGGACGGTGGTGTGGGAGGGATCCGTCCTGATGTGCATCATTCTGTCGTTGTTGCTGTTTCTCCTCTCCCCTGTCCCGTGGGGTCCATCGCTGCCAGCTGGCTGCACCCCAGGGCATCAATAAAGCGGATGGTGGAGGAGTGCTCACTGTCCCTATGTGGCCTGGCCTCTCTGTTGTCTTCTGTCCGTCGTCTGTGTGATCAGGCGAGGGAGTGGGCACCCACAGGGAGGGCCAGGCACCTCATCCCTCCCCCCATCCTTCCTTTCCTTAGCATGGGCTGTCATCTTCTACCTCAAGGGAAAAACCCTCTGTCCCTAGGAAATCCCCATCTGGGCAGCTCTGCAGCAGGGGAACAGCATCGTGGTTTCTGCATGGCTGCACCTGAGGCTGCCTTGCTGCAGAAAAACCTGAGCTGGAGCTATGCAAAACCCTCACGTGATCTGGGGGAGGGAGAGGGTCCCCACCTCCAGGGTGCCAGGTTGATGACTAATGTGACACAGCTTTTTAACAACATTCCTTTTTTTTTATTATTATTTTTTAATGCTGTGTTGCCTATGCAATTATTTGCTGGCTGAAATAAAAGTGATCCGTGCCTCTCTGCATGTGTGTGTATATCTATCACGATAGATATACATGAAGGCGTGGGTCGCCCTCCTGTTCCTGCGGGTGGAAATGGGTGCTGGGTGTGTGCAGTAGTTGGGGGACTTGGGGGGGAGCAGGGTGTTCTCCAAGGATTTGGTCCCTGAGCCAATGCTTTTACAGGCTGTGTATCTCTGCTATGGAATTGAGTCTATCTGGTGAGTCAGGAAGGAGGGGTTTGTTTGGCTTCCCCTTGCTCTTCGAGGTTCTCTTGGGTACCCCAACAACCTCAGTAGCTTTTTGAAGAGCACTGGATCCCCTTTTCTGGGAATGGGGAGGAGGAGAGAGTGGGCACAGCCTGTAATGGGGTATGACTCTCAAGCAGCAAAGCTGGTTGGGGAAGAGCAGGGGCTGGCAGAGAGATGTGGTGGGTCCTGCTGGTGGGATGGCCTCAGATGGTGGCCTTGGAGGTCAACCAGGGGGCCTAGAGAAGGATGAAGGGTGGTGGAGCCCTGCAGGGTAGCTGGAGCTGCAGAGAGGTGAACCTGTCGTCGGAATGGGGTGAGGTGCAGGGGCTGCTGGCACTGCACAGCTATGCCTCAGGGAAAGGAGTGGGCCAGGGGCTTCGCCTAGGTTAGGAGCACAAGCAGCTGAGCAATACTTATTCCTCGAGGCCCGCTGACTCTTGCTGGTGCCCCTCACCCATGTTCACTGTGGTGCTGTCCCCTGGCCTCTGCACAGGCGTGTCCCTGTCACTCATAGCCAGGTACCCCCTTCTCCTGTACCTCCAGCGACCGTAGCAGACCATTGCCAGGATGGTGACAAGCCCCACCAGCACTGCTGCAGCCACGCCAGCCACCTCACCCCCCGTCAGCGCCCGGCCCCTCACCATCTCTGCTGCCTGCTGGATCTCAATGGGCTGTGCCAGCCGCCACGCACGGCCCGTCCCATCCCGCACCCAGGCGCTCTCCCCATCCCCGTTGCTCACCAGCACGGTGTCGATGGCTGGCAGGTTGGCAGGGGGTCGGGTGAAGGGTGGTAGGCGCGCCGGCGGCAGCGAGCCCGCCGTGAAGACACCGGCCTGGACGCAGTACTCCACCTGGCAGCTGTCGCTGATCAGTGCTAAGTGCTGGCTGAAGCCTGTGGGGCAGCGCTTGGCGTAAGGGTCCTCGGCGGTACCCTGGTGCTGACCCCCTAAGGGGTTCCCTGCCTGGCAGCTGAAGAAGCCCCCGAAGGGCACCGCGTACTGGCTGCCTCCCTCGTAATCCTGGCTCACGCACAACCTGAGGTCATCAAAGAGCTTCAGCAAGAAGTACCGTGAGGGGCAGGACTGGGCACCTGTGAGGGGGTTGACGCTGCGGCTGCTGAACAGCCCCCCGAAGAGGTAACCCGAGTATGGGGACACTGGGCCACTTGCGACACACCAATAAGCTCTGAATTGCACCCGGGAGAGCCAGAAGACATCCCTGCAGACACGGTGACAGAAGATGCCCAGGGTGCACTTGTTGTGGCACTCCAGGTGGCTGTGGCCTTCCTCCCGCTCCTGCATGCCCAGCAGCACGGGGCTGTACGAGGTGGGACAGGAGAAAGCCCCGGTGAGGGGGTTTTTCTGCTCCAGCGCCCGGCACAGTTCATTGGTGTCGGGGCCGGCCAGCCCAGTGCACTCCTGGAAGACTCCCCCGAAGGTGAAATTGGTCATGGTTCCCACGCAGGAGCCATCGTCAGCGTTGGCGTGGAAGTTGAAGTTGGGTGAGGTGGCATCGGTGCAGCCAGGGTAGGTGTTGAAGGTGTAGTAGCGGCGGATGGCCATCTCCACCCGCTTGGCCAGCTTCTTCACCGTGGGGCTGGGCAGCTCTGGCAGGGTGCTGGGGCTGATGAAGAAGTACAGAGGCAGCCCCGAGCGGTCGATGGCCACCAGCTGGTTGCTAATCCCCTCCTGCCAGGTCTTAAGGGTGATGCCTGGGTAAAAGGGGGTCCCGCCGATGCTCTCTACTCTGGAGTTGGTGCGGTTCTCTAGGTACTGCTTGGTGAAGGCAGAACTGGTGCCTTGAGATTCCTCAGTTTTCACATTGATTATGCTGTGGAAGGCCACAGCGGCTGAGGCAGTGATGGAGCTCCGCGTGGCCCAGCTGTCCTTCAGGAAGGTGGCCTTGATCTGATCCTCCTGGACCAAGCTGGCTCCAGCATCCACAGATGTGATGGTGTGGGTGCCATAGTTGAGCACCAGCACCTCAGACAGAAAATCAGCCATCCGAGTCTGGTTGTTCTCCAGGTGGCTGGCAATGGTCAACAGCTGCTTCTTGAAGCCCTTGTCCAGGCTTGCTCCTGGGTCAATCTTGGCAGTGTAAACCAGGTTCCTGACCTGTACGCGAGTGGTGACCGCCTTGTCCTGCACTTGGTGGGTCTTGGCCTGGTGGAAGTCATAAGAGAACTTGCCATTGATTGCAGAGAAGAGGGACAGCTCCAGGTTGATGGAGGCAGAGGTGACGCTTTTGTAATCCTTCCAGGACTCGATGATCTCAGAGTTGATGTCCAGGTTGCTCTGCTTGCGAGGAATGGTGAAGATGTCATCTGGGATGATGTAGGACCCATCTTCAGTGGTCTTACACAGCGAGTAGCTCAGATCTATGACTCTGCCCATATCTAAATTCCTGAGGTTGTCCCAGCCCCCCCCGGGGAGGACTTCCAGGCTTGGGAGCTTCAGGGCCTTCTTGCAGTCCTGAAACCCCACAGAGGACAGTGCCTCCTGGGGCTGCTCAACTTCTGCCACTGCCATAGCCAGCGCCTGGGTGAGGAGGACCACCCTCAGCACCCAGACCATGGCTGAAGAACTCTGGACGTCCCAGTGGTGAAGAGGTGGCTGGGGAAATGAAGAGGAGGGGGTGCGGCTGGTGGGTGGTTCCTCCTCTCATGATTGAATTAAGAGAAGGGAAAGGAGAACTGAAAGCTAGTTAACATGAGAACTGGCTGAGTGGGGCAGAGGTAACTGGGTGAGGGGCAGGAAAGCCTGGAGCTCACTGCCTCCCTGCAGCAAAAGCTCCCTCTTGGTGTGAAAGTTACTCTGCTGGGAATGGGACAGGGTGAACTCTTTTATTCAGCACTCTGCTGGCATCCACCTGATGCCACCATGTGTATCTCCCTTCAGTCACTCCCTCCCTTCACCCTGGCTCTACCATGCCCTGCAAGGCTCTGGTAGCTTTGGGGGAGACTTCAGCACTTCCCACTGCTCCTTACAGCCTCCTGAAACCCATCCCTGTCCTCCCCCCAGTGTTCCAGGTAGGGAAAGGCACCTTCCATGTGGAACTGTGTCATTGCTGTATGCTCTGGGTAGTAAACAGTTAAAGTTGTTTCTGCTGCAAAACTGCTGAAGTAACCATGGCTCTTTCCTTATGGACAGGTTCATTTCCCCTATTTCTGCTGGTTAGTTCCTCTTCCCAGGATAGTTGTGGTAGAGAATGGGGCTGCAGTGAGTGGTGTGGTGAACAGCCAAAGGGGCCAATGAGAGCACCTTGTCCCTCACCAGCAAGAAGAGCCTGTCTCTGCCACTTTAATGCCCTCCCATCAGCTGCCTTATTCTGTAGAACAAAGATGATCTCCTCAGGATGAACAATCTCAGATTCCTCAGCCTTTCCTCATAGGAGACAGGCTGTAGTCCATCATATTCGTGGTACTTGGTTGGAGTCTCTCCAGGATGTCCACCTCTCTCTTGTACCAGAGAGCCCAGAGCTGACTCAGCACTCCAGGTGTGGGCTCATCAGTATGGAGCAGAGGAAAAAGATCATCACTCCTGGCCTGCTGACCTGGGGCTGCCATCCTTGGAGGGCTTCAGGACAACAGAGGAGTACCACCGGCTATGACATGGAGCCAGGAAATCGGACATCGTGCAGACCGGGAGGCGCTGGGACATCCCCACCGCCAGGCGTGGTGCTTTGCTGTGCTGCCACTGCTCTCTGCTGGCACTGGGACAGCACAGCACTTCTGGGGACAGGCAACTTCCTGGGCTGGAGGGCTTTAACGTGGAAGAAAACGAATGCAATCCCAGCAAAAACCGGCAGAGTATCCACCCGTAGTTCTACACCATCTGCGTCATGCTCGGGTTTTACACTTGAGAAAATATCCTCATGAATCACCACCACCCTCCCTGTCCTTTGACACACTGAGATATTACTATTTGTAGGCTGTGGGCCATTACTTCAAAATGTCCATTGAAGTGTCCCAGGTAAAGGTCTGTTGAGTTCATTTTAGTCATTTTATTAATGATTTTGGGTATCCCTTCATGCTAGCTGCATGCTTCCCTCTAACATTGCCCACTCTTGCTCCATCTCTGTAGGTTTCCAGTTTGTGTTAGAATTAGGCCAGGATCTCCTTGTTAACCCATGCAGGCCTCCCAGTGTTTTTGCCAAACTTTCTCTGCATCAGGGTGTGTTGCTTCTGAGCTGGGAGAAGGTGATCCTTGGATATTAACCAGGGCCTTTCCAGGGCTTTGTCACAGGTGAGAATTTCCTTGCAATGGCCAACCTCTACTGTCCTGAAGCCCAGGAATGTGAGATTGTTGCGTGTACTCATCACTGCCCTAAGGATGCTGAA